CAAGTATCCTCCCTAGGAAATGAGGGAAAAGCTGTGGATGTTGCCTACCTGGACTTTAGTAAGGCCGTTGACACTGTTCCCCACAGACATTGGAATAGGCTGCCCAGGGAGGGGGTTGAGTCACAATCCCTGGAGGTGTTCAAAAGATGTATAGATGTCACGCTTCAGGATATGGTTTAGTAGGAATGGTGGTGTTGGGTGGATGGTTGGTCTTGATGATCTTGAAGGTGTTCAACTATAATGATTCTATGATTCTCTTTTGAACATTTATGTAGGACTGATGCTAGAAATAGACCTCAAAGGTCACCATGTTAGTTTAACTTGTTACTACTAAAAATTTTGGGAGATCGTCTTGTTCTTACAAAACAACCAGCTTTTCAGTTTTGTTCTTATAGGTTCTGGATCCCTCAGGGCAAAATTTGAACTTTCAGAAGGACCCAGTAAACCAGCAACACTTGCAGTGCAATTCGTTAGTGAAGGAAGCACCCTTTCAGGAGTAGATGTAGAGCTTGTAGGCACTGGCTATCGACTTTCCCTCCTTAAGAAGAGATTTGCCACTGGTAAGACACTGACATGCTTATATATTCAAATTAATATTATATATTCTATAGTGTTAAATTATAAAATATTAAACTGTTAAATAAGTGATGCATAAATAGTTACTTTTCATTAAAACATGGCTGAAAACTGTTTCAGGGGTTTTTTGCTTTTCCATAGTTACTCACACTGCTCCCAGGAAAATACTGACAAAATCTGGTTTATCTGGTGACTGCAAAAAACCTACCTTTATTTTTCAGGACGGTATATGGCAGACTGCTGATGTACCTGTGAAAGTCATTGGATCAAAGGAGTGCAAGGGGCTCACTCTGCCATCTCTACTTTTCAAACACTATTTTAACACGCATTAATTTTTTCACAATGTCAACCTACTTTGAAGCTGAACTACAGAACAGAAAATGCACTTTTAAAAGTCATTTTGCAAACTTTTTGTTACTTTATAATAGCACTGAAGTTAACTTCAACACTGTCTGTAAATGATCAACTGCAATATTTGGGATAATTTGTTGAAATTTTAGTAAATTTATATAGATGAAGTCAAAATAGTAATCCATAGTTGTAATGAAAGTATGAAATTGTATGTTATACTGTAAACATTAAACCTAAAAATGTAGGAGAGCAAGTAAGAAATATTTGAGCTTTCCATAAGTAATATTCATTTTTCAGATTCTTTAATTGGCGTTTTTAGAGAAAGCAGAGGCAAAGTCTCACATAGTTCTTCTATCCACTCATACCACAAAACCAGCTGAGTTAGAGATGTATAAAAGAAATGCAACTTGATGGACATGTATCATATCCTATTAACATGTAACTTGGTTTATATAGGGTTTTTTTCCTAAGTGCAATGTGTTACAAAATTGCAAAAGACAGCAGAGGTTTACTTCTGCAGTTAGCAAACTTTATGGGCGTTGTGATTGTTTGAGTTAATGCTGTAGATTTAATTTATTTTTATATGAATTGCATAACATTTGTGCCTTTAAAAAAACATTTGTGCCTGTGCCTATCGAATTTGTTACTCATGTGCCTCACTTCCTTTTTCAAAGTTTGGCTCTTCATCAAGAAAGCATGGTGTTTGTATAATACACACAACTTTATAAAAATTCCTTTGACTGGGATTTATTTAGAAGGCAGATTTGTAAAAACTGGAGATTGTTTTAAAAGAGGCTTGAAATACTGGATTACTTCCTCACGGGGTAATTGCAATAAATGCAGCTGTGGTAGAGGGAGATGCATCATGCAGGACTTTGAAACTTTGAGATAGTAAATTTAATGTCACCAAAGACGAGAATCCTGAAAAATCACCGAAGATGGTAAAAGCAAACATTTTTAAAAGCAAACAGCATTTCCCTTTGACTGCAAGTCTTCAGACTGAGTGCTTTTGAGGTTGTATGATGTATATGTAAACATAGTATTTTGGGAGGAATAGCATTTTAGAAGGGTATTTTATGGTAGCAGGATGACAAGTATTACCATTTCTATTAAATTTTTTCTGTAACCACCAATTTTAATATTTGTATTGTCATCTAATCTGCTTGCCACACCCTAAGCACAGGAAAGTGACACATTAGTAAGATTTTTTTAAAGCAAGTCACTGATTTAGAAAATCTTCTATGAATTTGTATGTTCAAGTATTTTTTCAATGCAGAAATCAAAAGTATTGGGGAAAAATAATTCAGTAATCTGCACATGGGAATTGCATATGACCATTTTGAATACCAGTATCTATTTCAAATTCTCTATTAAAAAAATAAAACATGCTTGAATTAATTCATGCAAAACCAGTAATGAATTGGACTGCTGAAGCTTTACAAGAAATTAAACTTTGCAGAGGCTACATAAACTCTAATGTATACTACACACTCTTGCAGATGAGAGTTCCGTTGTTAGCATTCAGCACATACTGTACTGTAGATTTGATTAGAAGAGTACATTTGGCTCTTAATTTGCTAATCTTATTGAATGGTAAACTTCTAACTCATAAAATGGTACAGTCTTTTTACTGGAATCTTAATTGTAATCTGCTTCGCAATCAAACTGAGTTTAACGTGACAATATTTTATTAGCGAAAACCCAAAACTGTATTGCTATTTTTAATCAAGTATTACTTTCATTTGTACGTTAAATGAAGTAGCTAAGTTTCAGCACTTTTAAACTAGCCTTCATTCAGGTGATTATACATACATTTGCATTGGGTGCAGGTTACAATTTTGAAGCCATACCAGTTTATATAGACTTTTTGTAAAGAAATTCAAAAACAGTGTAAAAAGTACATGTATGTATCTGATAAAAAAAAGAAAACATATGTAGCAAGCTGGTTCTTGCTTGTGTATACAGCAATATCTGTCGTAGGTGCCTCTTAAGAAAATGAATTTGTAAACACAACTCTAAAGGATCTGAATTTTTATGAATTGTTACTACGTCAGACTGTAAATTAGAGCATACAAGTTTATCTTTACAAAAATTGTAAATACTTCTGATTTTTCATAAAATGTAAATTTTTAAAAAATTTGCACCCATAATAAACATGTAATATATAACTTAAATGCTGATCTATATTGCCTGTACTTTTGCAGTTAGTCCCACAGAGCTTCTAAGCAATAAGACAATAGAACTATGCCTGTATTGATCATTTTTAAAGTGTTAATTGATTTTTAAGTGGTAAGGCGTAAAGATAATATATGAACTCTTTTTATGTATTTAAAAAACAACACAGAGAAGGCAGGTGGAACGATAACTTCTGCACAGAGCTGCATCTCTACTAAACTGGAATGCCTGAGATGTCTGCAATGGCTTATGCCTTTACTAAATTGATATGCTTAACTAATAACTTAGATTAGGCAAAACTGCGGATATGTTTATCAGAAAAATCTCAACTTCGTAGACATAAGCTGCTCTGTAAATAGTGGTGTCAAATGCTGTCCATTCCCTAACTTCCTTAATGAGCCTATATTCTGTTGAGTGCACAGGACAAAAATCAGTGGCAAGATTAAAGTAATTCTTTCTGATTTCTTATGTTCCACCAATCCAAAAGCATGGACGATTTAAGTACTACTTCAGCAGTCTGAGAATGGTCCTTCTAAGCTGCAAGCACAGAAACAAAAGCTGAAACAGAACAAACGTGTTTGAATCTGTTTCTTTCCAACTAATCCCACAGCCTGCATAAGTTTAGCAAGCAATGACTTACTAAATTTACTTTCTCAGCTGGCTGGGTATCATTGCAATAAGTACCATTCTTGTCATGCTGGAAAGCAGTAGTCCAAGGGTTTGATTCTTATCTTCTGCGGGAAGGCGGGAATGAAGAACGTGAGTGCCAGATGGTCAGACCGCAGGGTCCCTCTGGCCCAGCTGTCTGCCTTCAGCTGTGCCCGAAGGACAGGCTGTGGCACGGAGAGCTCACAAGCCATTTCCCTTCTGCTCCCCCAGCATCCTCAGTTGTTGGTTAGAGATGTAAAAGGGTACAAGGCTGCTCAGTTCTTCTAGTACTCATTGAACAGAAAGTGTCAGAGACCACTGGTCTGGCACTTCTGTTAACATTTGACTTCTGTTATTCTAAGCCAATGCCCACGTACCACTCACAGCTGCTATAAACTGGATTTATACCGCTCAAGCAGGTTTCAGATTATCTAAGTACATGATCAGGCAGTTTTTCAGGGATAGCTGACTACCTCTACCACTGCCAAATCATATTTATGCAGGGTATTTGAAGGAGCTAAGGTAATTGATTATCGACTGGAACAGTGTGGGAGGTACAAGTGTGGTGGGTTTTGCTGTCTTAACTGGAAAGAAAGGTCTTGCATCATGCCAGAAAGGATTACATTTCAAGTCTTGTGTGTTTGAGAAGCTTAAGATAGGCATCTTAATATCTGTGTACCTTTTGTTTTCTTGGAATTGCTAGATAATTGGTTTCCATTTCAGTTGTCATGAAAGGGCAATTTTACTTCAGAGCATGCAAGAAAAAAATCAGGAATTCCTCCAAGGATAGAGTAAGCTAAAAACAGGTCAAGGTACTAAAGCAGCAAATAACATATTTACTGTGTGGTGCCCTTGATTGGACTGATTACCAGGCCTCTTAATTGAAAGCTTAATGTTTATCTTCAACTCTGCATATTATTAAACTACTGAGTATTCCTTCTCAACTCACTTTGGCCTCCATGTTCACTGACATGTTGATTTTTAAGTTCTCTCCTAGTTCATTCAATAACCAATAGAAAGCATACAGTCTTTAAAGAATAAAATAATCTTAAAAACGTAAGAGGCCTCTTCTGGATTACATATTAAACATTTAATACTCAAATTCTGCATTTTCTGTAGCTGCTTTCATTTCCTTTGGAATCCATACTTTCTTTTTTCGAAATCTGGGATGGCTATGTTGATTATTGTAATCTAAAGTATGATTCTTTTTTTTTGCCATTGTCCCAGCTGTATTTCTTTTAAAAAGCCTTGTTCTGTAACTTAGCTTTTTTTGTTGTTGTTAAAACTGAGCTGTTTATTTTTTTAAAAAATCATGCCAGCTTTTTCTCTTAGCATCACCCAGTCTGCCTTCTTGACGTTCTCATCTCCTAAGTCATGTTTTCTGCCCCAGAAACTTAGCAGTGGTAACGTGCTCAGCAGTGACTCAGTTCTTTCTTCACTGTGGTTAAAAGAAGCAGACCATTTTTACCATTGCTGTTTCTCCACTCCTGATGACCCCTCCTGCTTGTAATTAGATAAACTCCTTATATAACACCCACAGCCTTCCCTTCCTCTTCCCACTATTGTCATTGGTGGGTTATATGAATAGTCATCACTGATACAGAAATATTAAAGCTCTCCCAGTGCTGGTACTGAAAGGACATTGCATCCATGCAAGATGCACCAATACAGCTTGGGGAAGGAACAAATAAAAAACAAGACAAACCACAACAACTCAAGTTCAAAAACTGTTATTTACCTTCTCCTTGTGTTGCATTCTGTTTCTCTGGAGCCTGACAGGACTGTGGATTTTGACACAGAACTAAAGTCTGAACAGAGACAACTTTCAGCACCTGACCTCATTCTTGAACGCAGGTTTCTCCTCCACGTGTCAGAATCCCTCAGCCTCCGTGTATGAGTCCCTTCTTGCTCCTGAGCAGCTCCTAGATATTGACAACACACACTAAGTACTTGAGTACATGAGCACAGGAGAGCTGTTGCAGTCTGGGATCTGCCTTCTCTGCAGCTGACATCTCTCCAGGCCAAATGCTGCTACAGCCCTTCTCCATGTTCTGAGTCACTTGATAACGAACAGTCAGCCGGATGTCCGCTTCTAGTGAGAAGACAGAATAAATTTAGTTTTATTTAAGGTCTAAAATGCAGAAGACTGCTCAATTTAAGAAGTGCAACTTGTACATCTAGGACAAGAAATAGCCTCAGACAAACACACTGTTACTCTGCTATAACTTCTCTAGGTAATATAAAGCAAACATTACACTCACAGGAGACAGAATAAGGAAGTAACACGCAAAAACAAATGTAGGCTCCAGTGTTTCCTCTCGATTAAACAGAAGAATATGCATCTGACACAACTTTCCCATGAAGGAGTTGAAAATTTAAAAAAAAAAAAAAGTAAAGGTGATGGGCCATTACAGTTATTCTCTTGGTGTTTCACAAGGTATTTGAGGAGACCATCCAGCGTCTCAAAACTGAAGTTGTACCTTTAGTACCATGGGAAAGCACGCAGGATGTCTTCCCTTGCAAGAAGTCCTGCCCTGTCAACGTAGCTGTGAGCTAGAACTTGGTGTTCCTACACTCAGTGCTGAC